TAGAAGTAAGTAAAAGTAGATAAAAGTAAGTTAATTTTATAGTATTTGGTATAAAAGCTTCTTAGAAGCTTCATAGACGCTGCTTTGATTTCATAGGTGTCTTTAATTGACTTTTTGGATTAAAAACGTGGTCAACAAGTTGGCCATGTGCCACACATGTTGTTAGCTTGAAGACCAAGCTAACTATGTGGCCCTAACGTAGAAAAACTTACCTTATAAGTCAAGGCAAGTGTCCTACAAAGTCAATAAAGTCAACACATATTGGAGGTCCTATAGAACGTCGCCACGTAGCCTCTATTAAGATAGTATATATAGAGACAAGAGTGAAGCCTTCTTCACTCTTATCAACTCCTTTCTTATTTCCAATCTAGTTTCAAGAGTCGTCATATTTTCTAGTCTTTGGCAACAGCCATTCTAGTTCAATATATTATCACCTTTGAGTGATTTCTAAGTATTTTCGAGTGACACAAGAGTGTATTGAGATTATCTTTCTTTGGAGTTCATGTCCTTAATAGAGATTGAAAGAACAGAAAGATAGTGAACATGATGGCAAATCCATTGTAAAAAATTAAGCAACTTGAGGAACATGGCAACCTATACCATAACACCTCATGTCTAGTACAGAGTCTATAGCAGGGAAATGGTACCACACTTGCACACACATACATTGCCAAGACTAATCCTCGTTTACAAATGAAGCAGTAGACTTCTTTGAGAAATTGTGGTATTCAGGAAACTTATTAGTCCTGGTCTTACACAGTTTTGTTTAGGTTGGTTTTGGGTATAGGTCCTGGCTGAGATCTTATGGTCTATGTATTACAACTCTGCAGCAAAGTTTATCTTTATTTGTTTCAAAAGAAAAGAAAAAAAGAAACTGCAGTAATCCAATTTAGTCTCAACGCTGTTCTAGCCTCCGATTCATTCTTACACATCCGCACTTCGTAACACAGTCTGAGAAAGGTGGCACTGTTATCTGTTTCCAAGCTGTTTTTCCGCCTGAGTCTCTACTAATCTCGATATTTGGGACCTCCTAACTTTGTATTCTTCTGAAATATCCCATTGATGTGATCGTTAACATCAGTACAGTAGCACACTGACGACGCCGGTTCACTTGCTTTACAGTATTATTTAAATAAATCGATCCAATTGACAGGAGCCTAAATTAAGAGTTGACGTTGAAGCAGCCTTTAGCTGAATCCATTTCTTCGCAATAGTCCCTCGGTATGCACTGTTTCGTCGCACTCGTGTCACACGCATCCAATTATTTTAGTCTAAATTAACAAGTGCATGCCAATCAGGACCCTCCAACTGACCAATTCCGCTGGCAAAAGTGGAACATCCCACCACCCTATATTCTCCACCCACAAATGCGAGCTGTGAATCAGATGAATACGATCATGATCAGTCTACGAGTGTGTATCTATTTTGCAATGTCAACTCACACGGGGTACCGATACGATGAGCAGAGGGTGATACTGTTCAGAAAAAATCTTCACAACCGTCTGAAAACGAGAAACTCTGGACTTTTCGTGGATTGCTCAAACGAGTCCAGCAACGCGACTCCGCTGGTTGGTGCGATGAAGCCAGGGTCCATTCTGTTTGCACCGTTGCTATGGTTGTCCTCGAGTAACACGTAGCGGCGCCTAATGTGCACGATCCAAGTAGGGAATCGGGGGGTTCCTCTTCGCCAGCCGTGTATTCACAGCGGTACTGATACAGTGGGTCTCTGTATTGCCAGATAGTGAGGGTCGTCGGCAACTGTTGCTTGCATTGTCAGCCCTGGTTTCATCGGCACCGCAGTTCCCATCACCTAGATCCTCCACCTGCGTGTACGGCTCCCTTCTTTCACTCAATTGTGTCCACGTGTGGCCAGAACCATCTCTTGAACTTGAATCTGAGTCTCAGATCTGGTCAACAAATATTATATAATATGTATGCATGGCACTACTAGTTGCAGATTTTGTACATGTGAAGCCAAGTGTTCAGCTTTTTGTTAACCTACGGTTCAATAGTTTGCCTTTAAAGCTGAGCTTTCCAGATGCTGTACTCGAAGCTCAGAGTTCAATGGCGTGACGTCGGTTTGTATTTAAGAAGTAAAGAATCTTACTCACTGCAGAGTATGCGTTTAATCGACAAGTACATTGCATGTATTGTACACAGATTGACTCTGTATTTCTGGTCGTGAACGTGTTGTTTTCCCATCTTGTGTCTTGGGTCTGTTCATTGTTCCTTCAATTTGTTGCTGGTGTTTGTCAGCCTAGTTTTTATTTTTATTAAAAATTACTTGTTATATGCTTAGCAAAAACTATTGTATAGAATGTCTAAGTTGATAAATTTGGTGTAATTCATAAAATGGACAAATATTGTATATACATGCAAATAAAATACATATATCTGTGTGTATGTGTGTGTGTCTGTGTGTATATATATATATATATATATATACACACAATTTATTATTTTTTATTTTATAGTTTTTACATGATATTTTTATTATTAGTATAAAGTTCACAACTTAGCCTAATGTTACTAATTTTGATTTTAGATGTATTTTACAAGCTTTAATTCTACAACTAAAAGTTAAAATAATAGTTAAAATTTATGTTTTCTATTATTTAAAATAACTCATCTAAAACTCATAAATCTTGGGCAATTTTTATTTAAAACTTAATTCTAGTAGTAAGTTTTAAAGTATACAATTTTTAATTATACATGAATATGTGGGTAATGTTTTAATATTTTTTTAAAAAATTACCGCACAATGTGATCAAACTTGATTACTATAGTTCATAAATTTATTTAATTTTGGCTTTAGTACCGTGCTGTTAAAGTACTATTTGAAAGTGATGATATTTTTGATTTGTAAGATAACATCAATAATAAATCTTAGGCAAAGTTTGTCATCTTGTCCTTGAGAGTGTTGGAGTAAAAGCTTTTGATTGTACAAATCTTTTGTCAAGTAATATTTTTCAAACTATATGTGCAACAAGATACTTACCTCAAAACATGGTTAATAACAATATTCAAATATTCTTCTACTTTATAAAATCTAATAAAAATTAAATCAAAGATTATTATTTTTTATTTTTAATAAACGAAATAATTGTATTCATGATATATATATATATATATATATATATATATAGAGAGAGAGAGAGAGAGAGAGAGAGAGAGAATTTCCATCCAAATTTACATGTGTTAATTAATAAAAAAATTGTCAAATGTTAAAGATCATTATGTTTACCTTATATTTTGTAAAATGTTCTGCACTTATTATTTAAATTCTAATAACCATAAACTACCTCTATGTTTCAATTATATCATATTTTTTGCAAATATTTTATTTTATTTATTATAAAAATATAATTAAATAAAAAATATCAAAATAAGAATATAAAATGTAATATTTATATATTTTTAAAATACTATTTTCAGACATAGCGTGCAGAAAAAATTAGTTGATTAAAAATTTTATTTACATGCATTACATAGAATAAATAAATCATAATGACTAATTTTTATTGTAATAATAAACTAAGTATTCAAGTATTGTAAGTTTTAATTTTTAATTTATTTTTTCTAGACATATCACAATGCTTCTTGAATGCTAACTTTATTATATAAAAAATTATTATATACTTAATCATCACAAGTACATAAAATAAAATTAATTATAAGTTCTTTTAATGATTTTTTTATGTCCACGAAAAATCCAACGTACAAATAATATAAAAAATTCAATAGTATTGGTCTAAAATAAATACCATAAGGTAAGTTATAATGATAATTTTTTGTTTTTTTTTTTGAATAAAAAACAACTAGAGTATATTTATTGCAATAATCATAAAATGTATACATAAACAAAACATGACTACCTTAACTCTCATATATTTGATTGAGTCAGACCTAAAAATATAGAAATGATACATAACAACTTTTAACATACTTTGTTATGAACCATCTAAGGAGTAGATAACAGGACACTTTTTAAAAAAAAAAACTATGTTGCTCTAATGTAATTTCTTCCCTACTCTAGTGCCTATTATTTTTTTTCTAAAAGTTTTCTGATTAGATGAGGAGTTTTAGATTTTTTTGTATGTGATGTCCCGTGCCATGCATCCTTAGTCTTTCTTGTGTTGATTTATATTCACTCCAAACCTCTACTTTAAATATTATAACGTTTCTTTAAGTTTAATTGACCCACAAGCACACTTGTATGATAAGGATCCACCTATTCCTCTATGTCTTCAAATAAGGAGATAGTATATAATTGTATACCAAAAATTGCTTATTTCTATGTGAAGACCTTCCATAGCCCCTACCTACAAAAAGTCACACAATTTGGTGCATTAATGACGAACTCTACTTCCAAATTTTATGACCTTGCATGCTCTTCCCGAATCTACGTAGAATGCTTTCCTTATTGGGGGGGGGGGGCAATTCAATGGTCATGGAATCTTGACCCTTTAAATCACAGAAACAAGACACTACCATTATTCCAAAAAATAGAACATAAATTTACAGCAACATGGGTTCATTGCATCCCTTCCAGAAAGACCAAATTATTTGTCTAGAATAAAACTACCTTAAAATGAACCCAGTAAAAACTAATAAAAACATAATATCAAAATTATTTAAAAAAACAAGTATAATATAGAAATAGAGTTATACAGACAAAGTCAAGGTAAGGAGGGTGAAAAAGAAAAAAAGCATCTGAGAGGGGACCTCTCAGAGCCCAGCAATATCTGGATATTATTGACGAAGCATTCCCCGGGAATAGGAAGAATGTGGATAAAGCCTTAAGCACGGGTTTCCATGACCGTGCCTTGTGAAAAAGTAATAGGAAAAAAGGTTAATTGGTGCGAGTGGGGACGAGCGAGCGAGCGAGCAGGCGCTACCATCACGCGAGGAGGCATGGGCGCCGGCTCTCAACAACTCTCAAGTGTAGCTCGGTCCCGTCCACCTCGTGCCCGCCCGCCTGCCCCCCCCCCCCCCCCCCCCCTTCGGAGTTCGTCGTGGGGTAGTAAGCCCTCTCTCGTACACAGTGCCCATCGCTAGAAGGGTTCAGAACGGGGGTGTGTTTTTTATTTTTGTTCTGCTAAGTTTGGTTGAGAATTGGGTGAGTTGGACGACTTTGCATCTGCGCGGTGTGAAGTTTCCAGTGTTTGTAGCTCGTGAGCTGCAGTCTACGCTTGTCTTGTATGAAATCCGTGGAGAGGCGATGCTTTTGGAATCTGTTGTTCCTACCTCGCTTGATACCAGGCGATGCTGCGTAATCATGAATGCTTGTGGGTGGGTATTAGTGCAAGGAGTTAAGAGATTTTCGTTGTGCGGTGGGTTTTGAGTGCACGTGATTTGTTTGTTCCGATCGCAGGCGGTTTCGGGGGGAGGGGGGGGGGTGTGTTTTTTTTAGTGGTTTGTTTGGGAGGAACTGTTGCAGTCATGAGTATGTAGTGTGTAGGGGATTCGGATTATGTGGAATTGGAGGAGTTGCAGAATTCGGTCTGTGGGAGTACTTGGACAGGGAATAAGAGTGGCATGAGTTGCAAGTAGAAGCGGTTTCAGCATGGCGCAACGTTTAAGGGTGCTGCAGACGTTGATGCTGCATTTGTTTCTGGATTTTATAACGGTGCACCATGGCGCAGCAACCATGCATACAGTTGGTGGTGAAACTCAGAGGTGGGATTACCCTCCGAGAGACTTCTGGTACGAAGAGGTTTGGGCGAAGAGCATCATCTTCAGAGTTGGCGATCAGTTAGGTGTGTGTTACGTCGTGCTTTCCATTACGCTCACCCTAATTCCTTGGGACTTTTTATCTGTATTGTTGGGATCAGGTTACGTTTCTTCGAGTTTGATTCGCCGAATGCTATCCTTTTCCGAACCACCAATTGACATTGCACAGAATGTTAACCATATGGGGCTTTACTGTTCAGATGATCATAAGCTTCAAACACTAAGCTTATGTACATTGTTCACGAAACAGAATTAGTAGTGGCTATTGATTATTCAGAACAGCGCGGTTAACTATTCATCTTAATGAGACTATCCTCGTGTCCTTGACCAACTCACAGAGTTGTTGTCATCGTTCTACGAATTACAACATCAGCGGAGAGGGCAGTTCGCTTATTTCTAACACAGAATATGGCGTTTGGTGTGATGATGTTCAGTCTTTAAATACAAGCAAGGCATTCACAATGTTGCGGTTGTTGCATCACAAGCGGGGTACGAGATGTGCAATTTATCAAACGTCATCAATACGTATAACTCTGGCACGGAAACGATGGACCTAAACAGGACAGGATGGTATTACTACTTCTGCGCTGTTCAGGAACACTGCAGCAATCGGAATCTGAAAATGAAAGTATACGTCAATGAGAGTCTTGCTGATGGGACTCCTTCCGGGGGTGGCTCGAGTAAAAGCATCGTCATAATCGTTGTTGCAGTAATTATTGCTATAGTAGTGATCCTTGTTGCAGTAGGAGCTGTTTGCTATTATAGAAGGCGCAAGGGACTAGACGACTTTCCGTGTAGCCACAGAAGCGGAAATTCTGGACCTAGAAGCTCGACGTCGATACCAATCGAAATTCTTGGAAAGGATGGTCCAAGGGAGTTCACATTCAGGGAGCTAGCTGCAGCGACAAAGAACTTCTCTCGGACGGAGTTGCTTGGGCGTGGCGGATTCGGTAGCGTGTACAGAGGAACTCTGCGCGACAAATCCCTCGTGGCCGTGAAATGCATTGCGAAAGATTCACAGCAAGGGGAGAGCGAGTTCCTGGCCGAAGTGCTCATCATTGGGAAAATTCGGCATCGTAATCTCGTTCCGTTGCGAGGCTGGTGCGCGCAGAGGGAGAAGCTGCTTGTGGTGTACGATCACATGTCGAACGGAAGCTTGGACAAGTGGATTATACCTTCGCAGGATGGCAAAGTAAAACCCGCTTTGCAGTGGAATACTAGGTATAGCATACTCAGTGGCGTTTCGGCAGCGTTGTCGTATCTGCACGAGGAGTGGCAGCAATGCATTTTGCATCGCGACGTAAAGCCGAGTAACATTCTTCTCGACGACAAATTCAATGCATATTTGGGGGATTTCGGTATGGCTCGGTTGGTCGATCACAACAAAATAGCACACTCGACTATTGTGGCGGGGACGATGGGGTACCTCGCCCCTGAGCTGCCGCACACGCACAAAGCCACAACGAAAACAGACGTGTTCAGCTTCGGTGTGCTCGCTCTCGAAGTGGTATGCGGACGACGAGCATTCGACCCCAAATTGCCGCACGACGAGGTCTACTTGCTCGACTGGGTGTGGTCGATGCACCAGTGCGACCAGCTGCGCTCATGTGTCGATCCCCGCCTCGATGACGACTTCGACGATATGCAAACTAGGGTTGTCTTGCACATCGGACTGCTGGCATGCCACCCTGACCCTGGGTCCCGGCCCAGCATGCGCTTCATCCGACAGGTTCTAGACGGCGACCTGTCAATCCCCCAAATCCCCGGGAACCGTCCCGTGATCTCCTACTCATGGGGCTCCGGCTCACAATCCACGCAAGTAAGTAATTCCATGGACCAGAGCACCGATGGGATTTCCCAATCTGATAAAGCACCCCTAACTTATCCACGATAGGCGTGTCAGCAGTGCGACTCTCGATTCAGCGCTTCACGTCGATTTTGCGGTTGTTTCACTTTGTTTTGTGTACATGGTGCTCGAACAATCCGAAGCTCAGACTCCAGGCTTCACTTTTGTATCTCACGCTACCCAATCGCTGCCAAGCATGTCTTTTTACTTCTTTGCCAGCTGCTGAAAAAAACAATAATACGCCGCTAATTGCACAAAATTCAGTGTTTGTGGGGGTGCTTGTTGCAATCATCCCTGTCATTTGAGCCATTATTTCCAGCTCTCTCTGCAGCTCTGACGATCCATGTAAAGTCGAAGCTTTCATAACTCCTCTCTCCCCTTCTCTTTATCACGACCCCTAATTTCTTAAATTTGTAGTTTTTGAGTAATCTGTAGATGTGAACTGAAGAGTAATTGCGGTTTAAAGTAAACGAGTATGTACAACATTCAAAGTTAATGTAGGGAATCATTTGTTTGTAGCTTCTAATGTTTTTGTTGTTTTTGGTATTGTTCTCATCTGCCTCCGAAGAAGTTCCTGAGCAGTGTGCTAGTAATTTGTTTACCATCCTGCATTCATGAGGGAGATTTTGAAGAGTGTCCGGATGGAATTTTTTCTCAAGAATTAGACTGGATATGTTTGAAAGGATCAAAAAAACCTGCCATTCTTAAAAGGTGGAATATTCAAAGCAGCCGTTTAAATGGATTGAGTGGTTGGATCTTTTGAGTGATTTTGGAAGAATTAGCTTTAAATAGAAGATAGTTTTTACATGTGTATTTGCTTATTGTTGGCTTGTCTCTAATTTTGTTTTGTTGTATTAGTAGGAATCATTTCTCCACAAAGCTATTTGGAGGTTTTGTATTAACAAATTTTGCAATATTTCTAGTTTAGAAAGAATATTTTAACTTTTAATTTATTGCTTCAATATCTATCTCAATGAGACAATTTAAATTTTATAATAACAAACCTTTGAAACATTCAAAACAATCTATGGAGTTTTTGTTTTTTTGTATTGATATTGTATTAGTATCTATTATATAAACTCTTATTTTAAGCTATTGTTGTAGTTGGGAGGTCAAGTTTGAGTACTTACTTATATCTAAGGTAGTCAAAGTTGTGAGATTGACTAATTCATTTGGTAATGATGTTAAGTTTGAGCACTCCCTTATATTAAAAATAGTCAAAGATGTGAGGTACTATTTTAAGGTAATAAAATATTTGATTTTATAATGGTACCTCACATCTTTGAAATGTGATAGTACCATTATAAAATAGATCTAAGTTGTTGGAAATTATAGACTAGTAATATTGGATAATTATTACTTTTAATCCTAATTTTTTTACATCCAAAAAATTATTTCTTTCTTAAAGTTAAAATTTTCCATATTATTTTATATTTTTAAATATGTAGATTAAAAAAGATGACTCTTTTCATATAAATATTGAGTATTAATTAAAAAAAATCTTAATTAATATATTATATTTTGAACTTTTTACATACCATCTTTTTTCCTTAAAAGCACATATTGTATGCATATCAAATTTTCAAAAGCTTCAACTTTACAATTAGAAAATTATTGATTTTTATTTATTTATTTATTTTTTTCTACATTGGTTCTTGTAAATTGTGGTATTTAATGTTTGACTACCAAATAACCTACTTACTAGATATTATTTGTTTAGATGTTTCAATTTTTTTTGTATATTTTTTTATTTAATATTTTTAAAATCAAAGAAAATAAGAAAATATTTATATTTAAATTTAAATCTTAAAACTCCCAACCATTGTGATTCAAAAATTCTTCCTTAATTTCTAGCACTTATATATTTTATCATTTTAAGACTCTTCATGTTTGACAATAGTTTTAAATAATCTAATTCCTTATCTCTTATGCAAAAAAATGCTTCCAAAATTTATAATAGATGCTTTGATAATCCATAATATTTAAAATCTTTTTTTCCATTTGCATCCACATCAAATATAGAAATTTAACATTACCTTCTACGTCATCACATGTAACAACATTAAAAGTAATAAATGTGATGTCCTCATATTTATTAGGATAATTCTTTAAAAGCCTATCACTTGCAATATTATAACAATATTTTAATTCTAAAAATAATTCCTTAAATTCTTTTCTCTATAATTCAATTAAAAAAATAACTTCTTCATATCAATTTGATTTTTCACACTTCTCTACTAAAAATAAGATTTATTTGATAAATAAAATAATTCACTTAATAAAAATCCAAATTGAGATTTATCATAAGTATAAGTTATTAAGTAGTCAAAAATGTTTGTAAAATATATCATTTTTTATACAAATTAGTAAATTGATTTTTATTTCACAAATTATTTTTCTTCAATAAAATATCAAATGTTCTTATATAGACTTTAGATCTTTCTCAAGTATATATATATTCCTTGCATACTTGATATATATATATATATATATATATATATATATATATATAGATATTTCTACAATGTATCACGGACATACTCATGTAAGCTAGTAATTACATATACAAATAGGTAGAAGTAAGTAAAAGTAGATAAAAATAAGTTAATTCTATAGTATTTAATATAGAAGCTTACGAGAAGCTTCATAGACACTACTTTGACTTCATAGGTGTCTTTAATTGACTTTTTGGATTAGAAACGTGGTCAATAAGCTGGCCATGTGCCACACATGTTGTTAGTTTGAAGATCAAGCTAACTATGTGGCCCACATGTAGAAAAACTTGCCTTATAAGTCAAGGCATGTGTCCTACAAAGTCAACACATATTGGAGGTCTTATAGAACGTCGCCATGTAGCCCCTAGTTAGATAGTATATATAGAGACAAGAATGAAGCCTTCTTCACTCTTATCAACTCCTTTCTTGCTTCTAGTCTAATTTCAAAGGTCTCTAGTTTATTTGTCTTTTGGCAATAGCCATTCCAATTTCTCTTTCTATGTACATACTTGTTTATTTATAATTTGTTACCTTTCTTTGAGTGAAGGCTCACTTGTCTGAATTATTTTTTATCGAGTTCTTATTCTTGACAGATTGACAAGAATACACCTATAATATCAAAGCTTTGTCTAAACTTGATTAAGAGTGGATTACCTTTTTTTCTTGATAAGATATAAGCATATTAGAAGTTGCGGATTACCCTCTTCTAAACTGATATTGTCCTTAGTATTTTCTTTGTTCTCAAGTCCTCTCTTCTATTTGTCTTGAGCAATATTAGACATCTTCTCTTTTCTAAGTGTTATCATGGCAGAACTTCTTGAAATGAAGAATGCAATGGCACAAATGCAAGAGCAATTGAGGGAGTTAATGCTTACGATGCATCAACTCAATTTACCACTACAAGGAGCAACAAGATTTGCAGGAAGTGAAGATATAGAAATGGTTGGAGTTGCTTCAACATCTGCATCAAATCATGTCCTTTCTCCTATGGTGGAACGCCCTTCTAGTGTTAGAGAACAAAGAATTGTCCTACCTGAGAAGTTTGATGGAACCAGATCCAAGTTTTGACGATTTATCAATCAAGTGCAACTTGTGATTGAACTTCAACCCCAAAGCTATCCAACTCCAGCATCACCAGTTAGATTCATTGATATACTTCTTTCAAGTTTAGCACTATCGTGGTTTTTATCTTTTCTTGAACGACGAGATCCAATATTAGATAATCTAGAAGCTTTTCTAGCCAAGTTTTGATCCATGTATGGAGAACATGATGCAATTCGTGTTGCAACTAATAAGGTCCGTATTTTACGACAAGGCAATCAATCAGTAACGTTGTATGCTTCACAATTTTGACACCTTGCGATTAATGGTAAAAAAATTAATGCTCAACTTACCAGATCCTCAAACATTGAGTTAAGCAATTGACTTTGCTATGAATTGCAACAATTGCCTTTTCGAATTCTGATCTGAGAACAGTACTTTTGGACCTCAACGTTATTATAATTCAATGGCAAAACCAAGACCTCTTCAACACATACATTCGAAAGTAGAGGATATGCAAATTAATGCAGTACGTTTCAAACCTCTTATATAGCAAGAAAAGACTCGTCGTTGTCAAGAAGGATTATGTTTATATTGTGGAGAACCAAAGCACAGTACTCAACATTGTCCAAAGAAACGATGCAATCAAAAAATGAGGAGTATGATTGTGAAAGAAGATAATATGTCAGAAAACAAGTTTGTCCAGCTACAATAGAGATCGTGCAGCTGGAACCTTATACAACATCTAGTAAAGGTCCTATTCTCTCCTCAAAGCCCTCTCCTTGTTTTACATTAAATGCTATTTTAGGACCTAAACATTACAAAGTCTCTACCTTGTTAGATTCGGGAGCCTCAACATGTTTTTTAGATGAAGAATTTATTAAAAGACATAGCATATCTTTAGTAAAGAAAACTAAACCTGTTCATGTAGAAGTCATAGATGATCATTTTTTTGTCTTCTGGAGATATTACTCACGAAATCCTTCATATAGAAGTAATAATCAATGGTCATAATAGTTTTGTAGTATTTAATATCATTAGATCTCTCTCTAATCCAGTCATTTTAGGTTTATCATGATTAAAAAAATACAACCCTCAAATAGATTAGATTTCTGAATTCTTACTTTTTCTAAAAAATATAACTAATAGTGTAGTTAATCAAATAAAAAGTCATAAGTCCAGTTCAATTAAACCCGTATTTATAGGTACAAAAGCCTTCTTGCATGCGGCTATGAAAGAATTACCATATATTATTTATGCCAAACTTGTTTCTATTGGTGAAAAGACTTCAAGTGGCATTCCAAGCCAATATTAAGAATTTCAAGATGTATTCGAAAAAAAGAATGTAAATACACTCCTGAAAATTGTCCCCATGATTGCTCAATTGACCTTCAAGAAGGAGCACAACCGCCATTTGGACCAATCTACAGTTTATCACAAAATGAGTTAACTGAACTCAAGGAGTATATTGAAGAAAATCTAGCTAAAAATTTCATACGCCATTCTAAATCTCTGGCAGGAGCTCCAATTCTATTTGTGAAGAAAAAAGATGGATCATTGCAGATGTGTATTGATTATCGAGGACTCAACAAGATTACCATCAAGAACAGATATCCACTACCTTTAATATCTGGACTTCTTAATCAGCCGAATCAAGCTAAGATCTATACAAAAATAGATCTTCGGAGAGCATACAATCTAGTACGCATCAAAGAAGGAGATGAATGAAAGACTGCATTTCGAACTAGGTATGGACATTTTGAATACAACGTCATGCCTTTTGGACTTATAAATGCACCATCAGCTTTTCAACATCTAATGAATGATGTTTTTTGAGAGTTTTTGGACGATTTTGTGGTCTGTTATCTAGACGACATCTTGATCTATTCTAAGAATTGAGAAGAACATGAACATCATGTTTGTCGTGTATTACTAAAATTAAGAGATGCAGGACTCTATGCCAAGATAGAAAAGTGTGTATTCTACACTACTCAAGTTGATTTCTTAGGTTACATCATTTCAAATGATGGACTTATGATGGATCTTATGAAAGTTTAAACTATTATAGATTGGAAGATCCCAAAAACGGTAAGAGATGTCCAAAGTTTTTTGAGATTTGCCAACTACTATCGGATCTTCATCAAAGACTTTTCTCGAGTTGCAGCTCCACTTATACATTTGAC